TAATAGTATTCGAAGAAATCGTTTTCATGAGGAGGACACCCAACGCTATCAACACAATGCTGAAGTTAAAAAATCAATGGCAATAGGACCACCATCACCACCTCAATCATCCGCATCATCTCCAACAGCACCAAATGCCACAGTGACAACAATGCAACAACACAAAGAGGCCAAGGATAATGTGATGGGTGGTAGTGTATTGTATAAAAACAACAACAGCAATAATAATAGCACAACTTCACATGCAGATTCTGCAGCGGCTGCAGATGCAAACAATTCCAATTGGATGCCATCTTACTCTTCAACACCAGTGCCATCATCCGATACAGTAGCAGATGCTGGACCATCGGCATCTTCATCATCATCATCATCACTTTTGCCACTGGATAGTGATGGTAATGATGCTGAATTTTTGAAAATGCATAAAAAACAACAACAGCAACCAATGACCACATTACCCGAATTAAGTCTGTAGTTAAGTATTTAAATTGTGAATTCCTTAAATTATTTTCGATTAAGCAAAGAAAAAATAACAAATTATCCCAAAAAGAAAAACGAAACTGCAAATTTTGTCATTAGAATATTTAAAAGTTAACAAAAACAACAACAACAAAACTATGCGCATTATTTAGGCAGAAAAGGCAAAGTGAACCAAAAACCTCGATGGATCCTTTAATAATAAAGTACAATGCGGACATTAACGGGTGGCTATGCAGGTGATTGATTTTTGCCAGGAAGGAAATATTCCAAGAGAAGGCTGTATCCTAGATTATCAAATATAAATCGGAGCTTTGCTAAGGATTTGAATATGTATTAAGTATTCGATATTATCAAAACCGTTTATTGCTGGCAATGACGAAATAGTATAATAACACTTGATATTCTCCTACTTTCCCATTGCGGTTAATAAGCCAGAAGCATCCCACAAATATCTGCATTGTCCATCCCAACCAAATTTCATTCCCTTCCTTCCTCCCTCCATCAGAAGAAAGGAAACAAAAAAATCCAACTAAGACGTCCGCTCAAAATGAACATCAAGAACAACAACAAAAATGTTTAAAATGATATTAACCGAAATTCGAAATTATTTATATATACATACATATGTAGTAATACACGAACAATGAATATATTATTATTTATATGCTCATTATTTATTAGAAAATTTAAAAACAAAATAATAATAATTAATATAGAAAAAAAAATTAAGCGCTCCTTTCAACAACATATCCGCCAACTGCATATCTATAAATCTCTTCTAGACAAAAACAAATACATTAATTACATTAAATGATTTATTATTATTGTTGTTGTTAGATAACCCAATGAAATCTGCAAAGAAACAAGCAAACAAAACGAACACATAACCTATAATTCATAAAAAAAACTAATTGGTATTTAGAAGATTTTTTGTATGTGAAAAGTTATCATGGTGTGCGTATGAAGTATTTTTGAAAAGAACCAGACGAGAGCAATTTTATAAACGAACAGAAGGTCAGGAGATCTTATCTGAAAGTCGGAGTCCTTCTAGAGATCCTGTGAATCTTTAAAACAGCTCTTGGTAGCTTCATAGACTACTCTGAAGACCTGGTAAAATAGTTCAGGGAATCTTTTTAGAAAAGATAAAAATTATTATATTTTTCCGACCTATGAATAAGTCATTATAGACGAGCTGTATTTATTCCTTATGGACGATTAAAGGCTAGGTAGGTTGTCTTGACTTGATTTTGGACGCCGATCTCCTATATTCATTTACAAAAAAACAAGGCATGGAGTCCTTATATGTGTTTCCCCTTTAAAGCCACGAAGTCTTTGTAGAGTTTTTAGGATAGAACTCAATGTCAGGGAGTCTTTATTGTCCAGTTGAAAGGGTCTGATACATAAAGTCTTCATAGTCGAGCTGAAGCTATACGTGTCTTTATATAATAGTTGAAGGCTATGTTCAATCTATAAACATACTGAAGGTCACGGTGTATTTGGAGAAGCTGGAGAATAGAAATTCTTTATATCCGAGCTGAAGGTCAAGGAATTTTTATGAGCGATTTAAAGGTTAGACGAGCCGAGAGATAGGGAGTTTTTTAATCCGAGCTGAAGAACAAGAACAAGCACTAGAAGAACTGAATGCTATTGAGTCTTTACGGGCGAATAAAATGACAGGAAGTCTTTATATACCTGAAAGACGGAGAGTTTTTGTGGGCGATCGATGGGTAGGTCATATACTAAACTGAGTGACATAAAGTCTTTAGACATCTAAAGGTAGGGGAGTCTGTTTTAAAGATATTCAGGAAATCTTTATAAGCACCCTGAAAATCATGAAATTAAGTCCATATGGTCGAGCTGAAGCCAATGTAGCTTTTATTAACGATCTGGAGAGCAGAGCGTCTTTGTAGACGGGCCGAATGACTGGGAGGACTTATAGTCGAGCTGAATGACAGGGAGGACTTTTAGACGATCTAAATGACAGGCTGGACTTTACAGGACAGGTAATCTTTATAGAAAGATAAGTTGGCATTAAAGTAATAATGAAAACCATAATGACTTTATAGGCAATTGCAAAACAATCACTAGTCAATTTGAGGACCATTGTACTGAAGAAGGAGCAGACCCTGATTTTTCATATGATTTTCATATCTCGTGACGTTAGAACACAGGTCAGATAGTTTTTTGAAATCCTGCATCCAAGTTCCTCTGGCCTATGCTGCAGGCTTTTTTGGAGTAGCTGTTTTGGATTTCCCCAATGAAATATCCAATTGGAGGTTGTATAGATTCTTCATCGGTAGACTGGACGACTGCGAAACCTCTCGAGCAAGCTCATCAGCTATTTCATTCCCATCTATGTCACTATGTCCTGGAAGCCAACAAAAATTAACGTTCAATCGTCAATTATCGAGAGTACCTTTGCAGTCAAGAGCGCCTTTTGAATTTATAGTACACGACTTAAGGTCCCCCTGACAATCGACATACGAAGAGAACTTAAATGTCGGATTGTATTTATCGACAGACTGAGAACAAAAAAAAATGTTCAAGTCCGGTGTTATTTATAGGCAAGATTAAGGCCATGAAGACATGGAACTTTTACCGGGTTAACCCACTTTATGAGGATTTGTTTGACATATATGCAAAGGAATTGACAATTGAAACCCACTGGGTTAACGAAATCCGGTTAAATGTAAACGTACTATTATGTATTTATTTGCATTAGTTTAGGTGGCAACCTCTAGTCGAAGTCTTTCTTCAAGTCAATCTGATACACAGAAACAGTGATCAACAAGTCTATACGGCATGTCTGAATAACATTCATACTGACTATGTCGCCCAGTTACAAAGCAGTACACGAATACCATCCATAATAGCAGATGAGAAACAAATGCCGAGTAGTGTTAGCAAAGCTATAATCAGGATGGTGCAACCGCATCAATTTATGTTGGGCACGAATTTATGCCTAGGTGTTTCTTTATCCAGCTGAATTCCTTTGCGCTGATCATATTGGGATCGTTATCTACGTATCACTGGCAATAAGAAATTTTCTTTCGAAAGGCCTTTTCATCCATCGATTCTTTTGGCTTGGCACTTTGGGTGCAGGAGCCGTCAGCTAAGGTTCCACATTAGCTTTGAAGCACTCACTTTTAACTTATGTCCCTTTAGCAGCCGTTTGCCTCAGAAATAATGACCTGTAGATGTATCTACGACGGGTTCTGCTTCAGAGGAGTCCATAGCTGACATATTTGACGTCCCCTGTCAATTTGAGGATAGAGTATTGATGACGGTAACATCAGCATTATCCTATGTCGCTTAGGCGGAAGCTGCCATATTCTTCAATGAGACTGGAGATGGATTCACGTTGTCGGTTCAAATTTTCATTTATTTCGCCAAGATCGATGCAGGACACTAAACACTTTTCCTCGTCGGTCTAGGTTTACACAAGATTCGTCTTTCCACTATCTGCAACCTGTTGACGCGTCCGATAGCATTCAGATATGCTTCCGATCACAGGTATTAGCTTAAGTAGCACTGAAATAGCGTTTTTTAAGATTAATTCCGTGATCGGCGAATACATCTGCCAAAATAGGATTTATCACTTTCGTGTAGAGAAGATGTGACAACATTTTCTTCAAGCGTTCCTTAAAGTAAGGGATTTCGGATTTTATTCTACAATACGGATAAAGGAAGTATGGTAAATACGGGTCATGGCACAATGAATAGGTAGTCCATTTAGAACAGCTGATGTCTGATTAACTGTCAAAGTGGTAAATTTTACTTGAATTCGATGTGCAATGCTGCCAAATTTTTGAAATATTATAAGGAAAAATTTGACAGATAATCGAGACAAAAAAATGTTTTTGTTTTGATACATCACCTTATTATTGCATCATGATACGGGTCAAATTACATGTTAGTTGATGTAATGCAACCCTGTGGTCGTTATCACATCTCTGCAACTCACAAGACATGATTCGTGTCCATGCTACATACACGACCGCGCCATCTGACGGTAATTGTCTGAACTAAAATATAATTGCAACCATTTTGACAAGGTGCCCATATATACCCTACTTATACAGGTAGTATTTCCTCGGCTGGAATAAAATATCCACTTAGGAGTCACATTACCCCGTGATATCTTTTCATATAATAAAAAATAAATCCCACATACATTTCAATTAGTCCTTATGATTAAAAACAATAATTAAAAACTACTATTCTAAACTATTATTGTTGATCTGCTGTAGAAATTTGTAGTATAATGCTATACTAAAAATGGAAGTCCAAGGCAGGCATCATGCGTGGCATTGACATACAATGGTTGACATTCACAAAAAGGTGAATTGATGGCAATGGCGGTACAGCATAGCAATCCACATAACCTCCAATGGACTTAATCCCTCTATATATGCATACTCTACATATAATATGCTCTATAAAATAAAACTAAACTAAAGTACCTAAATTATGCTTAATAAAAAAATATTTAAAAAAAATAACAACAAAATAAAATGCAAAACAATGATCAATATTTGTGTTTATACTTCTACTTCTTTAGATTGGAAATATTGGAAAACTATAACTATACGATATCAGTTTTAAAATTTCCTTAATATTCATCGATTTCTCTTTTCAAACTATTAACTTTAAAAATAAATAAAAACTTTATAATATTTTCCCCCTTATTCAATTGGTTTTTAATGTGTGTAGAAAAAAAAACAAATTACTAAACATAATTATATGTTGTTTAAAACTAAGACTGTTTACATAAATAATTAAATAAATGAAACAATTACATACAATATATATGGAGGCAAGGTTAAAATATTATGTTTGCAAATAAAACAAAAAAAAATAATTTTGCCAGTTGTTAAATTAATTTTACCAACATTAAAAATATAACTAAATGAAACGAATATAAAAAGCATATAAACTACTTTGCTATAATTTTGTTAGTTCTGTAATTATATAAATGTTTAAATAAAAACAAAT